GGTTCGACCGATTTCAAAAATTTAAAAGACATTCGATGTATTTCGATGAGGACTAGCGTTTCTGAGTTTTGTGCGACGATCTGCCAAGCCGTTTCTTTGTAAATCGCAGAAAAGTGAAGAATTTTTCGTCCACGTTTTAGACCGTTCGATAGATATTGGTTGGGAATCGTGCTGATTAGTTTTTGGTAAAGATTGGCCGGGCTGTTTTCTTGTAATAAAGTTAAAAAAAAAATTTCGACGATTTTTATTATTATTTTTTTGACGGTAGATACCATAGTCTTTTAGATCATACTAAAATATTACGACCCTACAACAACTCGTTTAGCTTTAAAAATTCGTCAAAGTTTGCAAAAATTAGTATGGTCTTTTTGGCATTTGTCAAAATTAGAACTTTCATCGAGGTTTGCTCAAAAACGCCTGAACCGATTTCAGAAATTTAAAAACCATTCGACGTATCTCAATGAGCACTATAGTTTGTCAGTTTTGTGAGACGATCTGCCCAGCCGTTTCTTTGTAATTTGAAAAAGAGTGTTAAACTTTTCGTCCACATTTAAGCTAATTCTACCGAATCGATTTAAAAAAATCAAAAACTGTTCGGAAGATATTAGTTGGGAATGATACTGATTAGTTTTAGGTGAAAATCTACCGAGCCGTTTTTTTGTAATTAACTGTTGAAAAAAAAATTAAGCCGATTTTCATCGAACTTTTTTTGGCGTTATATCTCATGGTCTTATAAAACTTATTGAAATATTAATGCCTTAGCACAAGTAGCTTAATTTTAAAAATTCATCCAAGTTTGAGAAAATGAGTAGTTCTTTTGACATTTACTTGGTATAACGATAGAGTATTTGGTAATGGTAATGTAGTAAACGGTAATGAACACGATAAACAATAAAAGTCTTACAAAAAACTGGCTCAATTACGAAAATTATTGATTTTTGAAAATTTGCTTTTAAAAAATACTCCGACCGGGTTGACGAGTTCGATTTTCAAAAAATCCACTTTGTATACTTTTAACTACTCATAAATTAATTTATCTATTATGGATTAAATGGGAAGTTTATGTAACTTGCCTCAAGGCTAAATACCAATACCAACTGGTTTGATAATATATTGGTATATGATACGGAGTAAATTAAAAAACCCGCTCTATTTCCATTATGTAAATAATAAATGACTGTTTTTCAGCCTTTGTGGAAGAATACGAAGGATGCGCGGTATCAAGTGATTATTCCGGCTCAACAAAAAACTTCAATTATTTTTCTTCCGCATGCGAAACTAACAACATAGCACGAGGATTATCCGCTTACATCGGTGATAATATTTGCAAAATTACGGACTGCGGCGCGAAGCTGCAGATGCACGGCTACAGCCTCGGAGCTCACACATGCGGCGTGGCCGGTTATTTGCTCAAGAAAAACACGGGCTTGATAGTGCCCAGGATGATAGGTAAGTGAGATTGTAAACACTTCATACACAGAACAAATTCAAATCTGCTGAGTCCCTTTCTGAATTAATGTTAATTACTTTCGTTCGGGTTTGAGCAGAAATTGAAGTTTTTAATAACGCGCCGTGTTTGTGCTTGTTTCATTTGCTGAGTTTGCTTTCGAGAAATGAGAACTTCAGAGGGTATATAAATATGCTGCGTATTTTTCAGTAATAGTAAACGATAAAAATGTAGTTAGCTTTTAAATTGTACGCTATGCTTGCAAACGTGAATCGTTAAACGTATGAAACATTAAAGTAATGCATAATAGATGTTTATTTTTTAATGTTTCTGAAAAACTATATTACGCTATTCATAGTCTTGCAATATTTATTTCTTAATTAATATTTTCATCTTATAATAAAAAACGTATTTCTCGGCTTTCAAGAAGTGATGAGAAGTAGGTTATCTAATGTTTACTAGAATTATATATTAATTTTTTTTTACTTTTTTTTTAAATTTATTTGGTTTCGCTTACTCCGAGTATTTAGTTACCTACAACATTTTTTATTTATTTACATTTTATACTAATTTTTATATCATATTCAACCTATATGATATATCCTATTCTATATTCTTTTTAATGTTTCTTCTTATTTTTCTTCAATTCTTGCTTTTTTATATCAAGTTTCTCCTGCATAATTTTGATTTGATACTTATTTTTGTTCATTTGTCTTTTTTCAATTATAATTTGACTGTATAATCATAATGATTTTGAATAAAAATATGTTGAAAATAATGCATTCAAAATAACATTTCGTGACGATTACACAATTTATTGAATTTATACAATTTTCTACACCAATTTTCTCTTCTTGATATCTTCAATCTGGTACCTAGGATTTGTGATTTTCTGTCTAATTAGTGAAATTAGAGAAAATGGCATTTTATAAGTATAAGAATACAATAATGAGTAGAACAAAACTTACAAATTTGAATTTTATTATATTATAAGCCATCCGAGGTCACTTTAGTTTATGTGAACTGTAGTTCATTAAATAAATAGTGGCATTTCTCTATATTAAAAAAAAATTAATAAGTAGTTTCTATTGAAAAAGGACCACGTTGAAATTCATAATTACTTATTTGTTATCTGGCATTATCAATACTATGTGTTAGTTTTTTTCTAAAAAAAAAATATATCCACTTATGTTTATGACAAGGAAGTTTATGTCAAAACGCAATAATATAGATGTTTTAAGTTTTATGATGGAATAATAATAATCCTTACATTATCTTTTTCACTTGAATTAACATATGTAAATATATATCGTGTGTGTATGTGTAATCAAAAATTATCAAGCAAGTGTTAATTAATCTATCATGCTATTCACTGCAAAAATATTTCATTTTCATTTTAATATAAACTTTATGGGATGTTTCTTAGTCAACTCTATATAATGAACGATTCCTCTATAACAATAAAAGTTATGTACATTAATCATTACCACGCGAGTCTCATTACATTGTCATATCTCCACAACCCATTCATCATAATACAGAAAATATAAAAAGAAATGTTCTATTTATTCCAAAACCCACGAACAATAGCATGAAACCGCTTGTGCACAAAAGGCAAATTTCATTAACTGTATTACAACATTAGAGCACTCATTTAAATTGTAGCAAGTGACGCAGCGGGTCCTGTTTTTAACAAGGCCGACCCGTATGATGCCAATTTACATCTGACCAGGGAGAGCGCGGCCACCGTAATAAACGTGAAAACTTCGTGCGTCATAGGGGCGAGCCTCACGGAATGGGCGCATCAGACGCAAATTGTCGGGGCAGCATGCGGATGCAAACAAAATCAATGTCCTCAGAGTTGTGAGTAGAAGTTTATAGATTTTGGATTAACTTAGTTATTATGGTTCAGAAGTTCCAAGTTCGATTCCTGAAACTTATGGAATTTAAGTATACAGCATTATTGAGACGTAGGGTTCGATCGTAGATAAGTGACTAAAACGACTGGGCCTGAGTCAGAGGTTCCAGGTTCGTTCCCGTTTGGAGCAGCCTGTTGTCAAACAGTAAGGACAACGATTTTCATTTGGAAATATATATAGCAATATGTTTTCAAGTAAAAATAGCCTTTAAACCGGTATTGCCCTATTAAACAAATTCTAATAATAAAAAATCATCAATCTTACGATCTAAGAAAACAAAGTAAGGAAAAGTTTCAGCTCAACAACTTATGGGACTTAAAGTTCTGATTGCTGTTAAAAATCAAAATTATAAAGTAAACACAAGTTTATGGGACTATTAAGATTGTTGTAAAAAATTAAAAAAAAACATTTCACTTAATGAACTATGTGATGTTTTTAACATTATCGAGCTGCTTTTAATTTACTTGCTCAGTAACTGAAATAAGGTATGTTTCTGATTATGTGTGTATATTTTTTTAGTTATGTGTTTTTATTCATTCTTTTTAAATGAAAATAAAAAATATTTTTATTTATTTATGTTGATCATATAAAACTTCTGAAAACAAAAGTTGATTCTCTTCATTTCCACGAAAACTAGACAGAAGTTTTTTGACAAATTTTCTATATAATTATTTTAATTAATGTAAAAAACATTACATCTGGAATTAGTTGAAACAAGACCTTGGGGCTAGTTTTAACATGCAAGAATTATATATTCAGTTTCAGATGTGAACTGAAGAAGAAAACTAGAATAAATTATGCAGTTTTTATTCATACAAAATATACTAATTATAAGGCAATTAATAAATATATGAAAAATTTTATTACTATTTAAGTACAATTCTATTCTATTCTTTTTAAAATAATTTTTCCTAAATGTCTATTTCATATTTTTATAGCTTTTACATGCGGCCACGAAACATCATTACACATCGTGAGATCAACTATGGGAAATAATTTTAATGATGTAAAATTAAAGAAATGTTCACCATGTAGTTGTATCAATCCAAAATATGATTATCCGGCAGTTTATGAAAATCTTGGCTGGAAATCATCGTAAGTTAGAAAATTAGAATATCAAACCTAGCAATGATGTATTTTATTTAGACTTCGCAAAAGTGTGATTCATGTTAAGCATTTTATTTTATGTTCTTTTTGTTTTAGGGGTGTCCCTGGGATATTCAAAACAGGGTCACTAAAATCCTGCATAGAGTTTACCTATACTCCAAAATCACGTAGAAAATTTACCAACCAGCCCTTCTGGAAATGGCATTGGTATAAATAAAATATTGATATGTATATATTCTTGTAAAGTGATAAAAATTTAATTTATTTATTTATAATTATGTTAGATTTAAATATTATAAACAATACTATGTATTACAAATATGGAAAATATATTTATATTTTAACGCACTGTTTTTATCTTTATTCAATAAGCAGTAAATGATTATCGGCTAACTATCTTTCAAAATGTATGTAAAACAGTATTAATTAAGATAAATATTCTATTACAATGCAAATTGATTGGATTTTAAAAAACAATTCTTATAATTGGTTTGAAATTAGTTTTAAATATTAGTTAAAGTTATAAACAAGAAATATGAAGAAGTATTAAATACTAAGTTAGTGTAGAGTGTACATGATTCTAAATGATGGGGTCAAAACGATTATTTTTTTATTTGTTTTTAAATTTTATTAAAATCGCTGCAATATATAGCATAGGTAGATAAATATAATATATATTTGTATTGTAATGATTATTATAGGAAACAAGATGCAAAATTATTTTTTTATAGACTGTCCGGATTTTACTGATGTTAAACGGGATTCACTGAAAAAAGTTTTATCAGATGCCACACAGATCTTGAATTTTACTAAATATGATACAAACGATATGAATTTTTATGTTATGTCACCAAGGTAAATACATTAAAAAAAAACTATAGAAGTACTCTGATGAAACTAGTTTTGTGTAATGTGTAATAGTAGTCTTTCATAGATATCCAATAAATCTTAACATAAGGCCAATAAAATTACATTCCCAATATACTTACAAAATGATTCTAATAATAAGTGTTATTCCGTCTCTAATTTAAATGATTAAGGTCTTACCCAAATTTTGAAAATCCCCAAGGAGAATCTATAGATTGGTCAACACTTGATTGTGAAGGTAAGCCAGTGTTATTCAATTGTCATGGATACAGAGAAACTGGATTACAAGTTTGGGCCATCGATCTTGTAAGAAGTGAGTAAATAATATTTTCAAGTTAACACAAATTAGATTTTTATACATTTATTTTATATCAGCTTACGTTCTGCAAGAAGGAGGTTGTGCAGTTGCAAGTGATTACAGAGGTGCATCTCAAAATCTAAATTATTTGACCGTGGTCAGCAATACTGGAAATATCGCCGAGGCGATGGCAAGTTACATCGCAGATAACATCTGTCAAGGGACCAGAAATTGCACGAAAGAACTTCAATTGCACGGACATAGCTGGGGATCACATACGTGCGGAATTGCAGGATACTTATTGGGACAAAGTGGATTGAAACCAGCTAGAATGATAGGTTATTCTATAATGGTCACTTTGTACTCTATCAAAAATAACTGTATCAAGTTATAGTTTTAGAAGATATCCTGATATGCCAAAAAATATGAAAAAATAAAATTTTATTTTTATAGCTAGTGATGCTGCCGGTCCATACTTCAATCTTCTAGACGAAAATGATTCTGAAAAGCATATGTCTAAAGAAAGTGCAAATTTTGTTCTCAACATTAGAACATCAAATATTTACGGTTCAAGTTTAGATAGTTGGGCTCATCAGACTCAAATTGTTGGTGATTGTGGTTCGAACCAGGAACAATGTTCCGGCATAAGTACGTAAAAGCTAAATGAATCTCATATAAATAAATTATAGTAAAAATATATAAGTGATTATCCAATGACTCATAGGTAGATTGCGGTTCTTGCAAAGATTATTTTGCGATCATAATTCATCAATATTCATGGTAAAATCGACAATGGAGAAGAACTTTCCAGAAATAAAACTACAAAAGTGTTCCGATTGTCGCTCAATAATTCCCTCAACAAATGAATGCTCGGATGAATGGGAAAACTTGGGATGGAGGTCTGAGTAAGTACAGAAATTTAATATATTTTAATGAAATTTATAGCATATTGATTAAAACTTTTGACTACGGAATACTTTATAAAAATAATCAATAGATTGATAGATTTGGGCGTAATAAATATTTACATTTGTATTTAATTAATAAATTATTTACTTTCAGAGAAAAACCTGGAACGTTTATCATCAGAAAATTGCCCGTATGCCTGAATGTAACTATAGACTCTGAATTGAACTCATAGATCAAAATATTGACAATATTCAAAATATAAAATATGTTCAATTATGATTTCATTGTACAAATAAACTGGCATAATTTATTTTTCATATTGTTCCAAATATTTTGATTGTTTAACCCAATTTTAATAGATACAAGTCGTAAAAATAGTACTAAAGACGCCCACATCATATGTTTGAAAACACAAATCATATGACGATCCTACTTAAAAAAACATAATAAAATAATGATGTCATTAAGTAGAACTCAAATTATTTTTTTGACCTTGTTCGCATAAACGTATCATTCTGATAACAGTTATGGACAAATTATTAGACAAAACATTCAAATTATTTATCTACTTCTACCATAGCTAATTCCAAAATTGGAGTAAGCAATTTCTTATTAAAACTCAACTTGATTTTCAAGTAGTTTTTTTTTAAATGTTTTAGAAAATTAACATATATTTGATAAAAAACTAAAGTACAAAAATTTTTGTTTATATAATTTTAAAAAGTGAAGTGAAGTTAAAATCTTGCTGGACATAGAAATGATTAAACTGTAAATTTTAAATTAATATTTTGAATATATTGTATATTATTTTCATATAAATGGCCACCAATGATATTGATGAAGCAACGAAGATCATCATAAGCCGTAAAATAGAGCCAGATGTATCAACAAAAAATTATAAAACTAGCATAAGCCACTGATAAGACACTGTATAAATAATTTGGTCTCTAAAATGAATTGTTAGTGTAGTATGATCTTTATAAGACTGATCGTAATCGCACGAAAAACGTGATAATTAAGTGGTTTTGTAGTGGTTTTAATAGTGTGTTAAATAATTTTTAAATTTAATTTTTAAAATGAAGATCTTCACGTTTCTGTTATTCTTTCTTATGTCAACAGTGCTTGCAGAAGGTGAGCGTTCTCTGTTCAGAATTATAAACTTTTCATCTCTCATAAAATATTAAATGTTAATATTTCCTCAACAGACTGTCCTGAATTTACTGATATTACCAAAGACACATTATCTCGTTTTGTATCTGATGGAGAATCGATACTTAATTTTACAAGATATGATACAAGTCACATGAAATACTATGTCATGACTCCGAGGTAGGTAATCCATCAGGTAAAACAAGCGGATAAGTTTGAATTAGTAATGAGAACATGTGATTAATATCTTCAATATATCATTGTCTATATGCAGAAGATGATGTTCTGTGATATTTACTTTTGATAATGGAAATAATGATTACATTGTTATTATATGTCGCGCGTACGAATATCGAGACTTATTTTAAATTCTCTATAATATTATCTTATTGAATGTGAGCTTTATTAATTAGATGTCACAGTACTTAGTATAATGTAAATAATAATGTAAATAAGTAATAATTTATATATATATATATATATATATATAAATATACTTATAATTAAACCATTTTAATTATTATAGCTCATATCCAGATTACGTGAATCCTGATGGAAAACATGTCAACTGGTCTGATTTGGATTGCAATGGAAAACCTAAACTTGTTTTGTGCCATGGATTCAGGGAACATGGACTATATATTTGGATGATTGATCTTGTTAGAAGTAAGTAAATAGAAAAATTATTAGCTATATATTCTTTGTTTACTACATTTACTTTAAATCGTCATATATGTTAATCAACATCATAATGTACGTGCACGTTATTAACTTGCTGAAGGAGAGGTTTACGCTTTCGCCAAAAATTTAATTTTTGAACCTTTTTACTACAAAATTAAATTAAATTATTGGATAGATAGATGGTAATTGTGCTGACGAGCTTTTGGTAAAGACTAGGGTTTATACAAAAACCGATATTTCAGAAATCGGTTTTCGAATTTTAATTTTACTAAAAACCGGTTTTAACCGGTTTTAACCGGCTTTCAAATTTTATATAGAAAATAATGTTTGCTCGAATATTCTGTAATTTATCTGCAAATTTAATGTAATTTAGAATAGTATTCAACTGAATTAATTTATTGTTCAATTTTATATATAGTAAACAAAATAGAGTAGAACTAAAAAATACTAGTTTATCTTGATTAAATAACTTTTAAAATAATTATTTGTTATTCATGCATCATTTTCACATATAAGAATATCAATTTTAGTTTTAAAAACAATTAAGCTAAACTTTTACTTCAGTTCCGAGCAATTTTAATTAATTAATTTTAAACATTCTAATTGTTTTTTTTTCAATAAAATATGATTTAACAAACTCAGAACGTCTATCAAATTGCTACATAGACGTGTCCTTTGTTACTCACAAAATTTCCTGAAATAGAAAATACTCTCATACTTACGACCAAATTATGCTTAATTGTTTTTAAAGCCTGATATGATAACTAAGTTTTTTGTTCTTTAGTTTGTGGCTTCTAGGGTTTAAAACTCTTTTTTTTTCAAGAAGAAGTCACACAGATTTAAATTAATATATACACTGGTATAAAAATCTAAATTATTATATACATAACCTTACTGGGAATCATTGCAGACAGATTTGATTTCAAGAATCAAAACGCTTTTATCTATCTTTTATATTTTGCAATATTTGTCATTTTTTTCTCATTTAAGTCTCGAGGAAATAAGTTTTTTTACTAAAAACCGGTTTTCTAATTCCATAATTTACGCTAAAAAACCGGTTTTTAAAACCGGTTTTTGAAAACCGACAAACCCTAGTAAAGACCATGCGGACCTATGTAATTATTTGTTGATTTTTTTTTTGTTTTAGTCTCATAAAAACTTTATGTGGTGATAATATTGTAATCTTAACAAACATCCTAAAATATTTTATTCTACGAAGAGTGTGTAAATTTAAAAATTTATTGTGGTTTGGAAAGATGGGAAGTGACAAAATTTGAAAATTTATTATCATAATTTTATTTGAAAAATGCACAAATCAACATATCAATTCTATTATTTAAATAGATTTTTACGCTTAAGAAAAAGATGCAATTGGTTTAGAGTAAAACGCCGCTTACATCTAATTTATTTGAATTCCAGAGACAAAAACTGTAACTGTAATAATTCATTAAGGCTATGATAACGGCATCGTTGATAATCAAAATATTTCTAACATGTTTTTAGTAATGCAAATTAAAAATAGATTATATATTATAGCATTTATCTTTAGATAATGCTATGTTACGGTTTATCTTTGTATGAGTTAGTTGTAACAAATATCAAAAAGATATATATATATATTATATATATATATATATATATATATATATTATATTTGCTGTACGATCAGGCGTTTTATACCTAAAACCTAACATACAAAATGCACAATCATCAAATAGCAATAATAAATGCATCTTTCTAATGTCTCATTGATACCACGTACGTAGGGTTAGGTTTTATGTGTAAAACGCCTGATTGTACAGCAATATATAGCTTTTTCACAATTTGTTACTACCAGCTCATATGAAGATAAACCTGTAACATAACATTAGAGCATAACATTTCTATTTATCCGAGAATTGGCCCCGTAGTGTAGCTTGTTGAGGCAATTTGTTTAGTTGAGTACAGTATTTGTTTTTGCAACATGAATTTGTAATATTTTGTAATTCTCCCAGTTACTAATTCAGCATAACCTAATTCAATTTACCATTTCAGCGTACGTTTCTAACCACGGTGGATGCGTCGTTTCCCCCGACTATGAAGGCGCTACAGAGAATCTCAATTACTTGACAGTGGTGAAGAACACGGTCGGCGCGTCGCCAGAGCAATAGCGGAGTACGTTGCGATAACATCTGCAGAGACGCCACGGATTGCACGAAGCAATTGCAATTGCTCGGCCACAGTTGGGGCGCGCACACTTGCGGTATCGCGGGCTACGAGCTGGGAGAGCGGGAGCCCAGTCTCAGGCCGACGAGGATGATAGGTAAGGTTAACGTTCTTTTGCTGATTTGATCTCGGAGAGAAATACATTTTGTACATGTGGAATTGGAATTGTTAAATTGAGGGATGCATGTTTAAACACGTAAAGTGAATTTGAAAAATTTAGAACCCGTAGTATTAAATAGTGGTTCCGGAATAAATCGAGAACTATATGTGTTAACCAGATTTGTAGAATATACGAATAATTTCATCTTGCACTATTCTACCATTTCGTATATAAGGGCGTCAATTAATCATGTAAGCCTCAATGGGTATGCGGGGTTTGACAAAAGATGACAAAAATATTACGTGGGGGAGATGAGGGTGAGGTTAAGATTTCACGTGTATTTATTTTTTACCTAAGGTAAAAATTAAAAAAATCAAAATAAATTATAAAATTTTACGATTTTTTAATGTATTAAAGTTACACGAGATGTTTGATGTGGAAGGAGGGGTAATTTTAAATATCACCACGTATCCCCAAAGGGCACGGGATGTCCAAAATCCTTAGAAATCGCTCACGTGACGCCCTCTAATACAATACACCAAACACTAATGTAAAAATTATAAAAATAATGAAACCTATACTTGCAATATTATAAATTTCATAGTAATTATCTTAGTCTATCAGACTTAT